ATCTATTTGATCAACAACAGTAAGGAATCTTGGGAAAACCATTCCAGAAGCAACAATTGCGTATACTATGCCAGATTAAAGTTCTGTAACAGAATTACAGAAAAAAAAAACATATAACAAGATAAATACATCTCGTATGGTCTCCAAAGACCAATTGAACCATCGACCAAGAAAAAGTTTGGAAACACAAAAGCATCGGGTCTCACTCGACATCTTTACAAATCAAACATGAACAAGCATCCCATAAAATATGACGCATTTACTTTCAAATCAAAAACTTCATCGAGCGTCTTCACCCCCCCCCTTTCATTTATCATATACATCACTTTCAACCCATCCTCCTCAACTCCAGGAGACACCATCACATATTTATTTCTTTAACGTTGAACGAAAAAGGAAAAGAAATTGCTTGATTCATAAAGAAATCCATGACCATGAGAGAACTCACCCATTATGGCCGTCAAAAGTTCCCTGAGCATTGTCCTGGACCTGGCGTCTCTTTTCCCGCCAATTCTCACCCCACATCTTAGCCTCAGCCACGGCCCGTTCCCTCTCCAGGTCTTTGGTTGATTTTGGGTTCTCCCGGGGAGAGTCATCCCTCTCGGACCCTTCAAGGTCCCACTTGCGGCCAGACCCACCACCTTCCTCATTCCTCAACAGTTTCCCGCCTTTCTCATCCCTATCTTTACAGTCCCCTCCTGACCTGTTCCCTTGTGTGGGGTCATACGCCTGGTTTGCCAGGTACGAGAGGGCAGTCACAACGTCCCCTATTAGAGGCCGTGCGGCTGCCTGTTCCTGGGTACACATGGAGGCCACTGCCAGAGCTTGGTAGAGCCCACGCATGGGGAACCTACCTTGCAGCCTTGGGTCCGCAAGCTTCGCAAACTTCCGACGGTCATTGAACAACGGCCTTGCCTGCATTAGCAGGAAAAATATAAGTTATTTTGAATGTAGATTAAAAAATAAATAAATACATTACTCCTCTTGTCTTGACTACTTTACTTTACATCCCTCAATTTATTTATTTATTTTATTAAATATTTACAAATGACCAAACCAAAAGGTGGGTATATTTAATAGTTCAAGAGAAGCCAGGGTGTAATAGTTAAAATATTAATGGCCTCAGCAAATTTCACCATACCACAACTAATGATCAGAAACCAAATGTAAAACAAACAGTGGGGTTATTTACCCAGGCGACAAGGTTTTGTTCCCCCTGAGGAAGGGTGCTGTCGATTGCTTTACGTCCCGTGATGAGCTCCAAAAACACGACCCCAAAGCTGTAAACGTCAGACTTAACCGTCAACTGACCAGTCATGGCGTATTCAGGAGCACAATATCCATAGGTCCCCATGACCCTGGTGGATACATGTGACTTGTCCCCTGTAGGCCCCAGCTTTGCAAGCCCAAAGTCCGAAAGCTTTGGAGAAAACCCTTCGCCAAGCAATATGTTGGATGACTTAAAATCACGATAAATCACCGGGGGTTTCGCCTTGTCATGGAGATACTCAAGCCCCCGAGCAGCACCAGCTGCTATCTTCATTCTAGTGTTCCAATCAAGGGCTTCCTTTTCAGTTGGGAGATCTATGGGTTGATTGTGTAATGACGTTTGAGCATCAATTCAAATATGTAAAAAATTACAGTAACAATAGCAACAAGGAGATTGTAGAAGACAATAAATTTACATCACAACATGATTAAGAAATGTCATGACAAACAAGGTGGTCTAATGACCATATTAAGTGTTGTGGCTTATACATATCTAGTTAAAGTGTGTAAGTCTATTAGCGTGCATTGCCCTTACGGATGTCAGTCTCATGTTTTTTACACTTTAAAACTAAATAGAGGCATATTATAAAGCAAACACACAAATATTAATGCCAATACGAATGGTGTTTCGCGTTGTATCAACACATTTTCACAAGAATGCCAAACAGAATATAACACAGGCATAGCTCCATTTTGACATTACATTACATCAAATGTTGATAATTTTAGTATGTCATAAGCAATTAAAAACTAAAATCACAGTGAACTAAGTCCCAGCATAAAAAGAAAACACCTGGAATCAAATTGCTATAACTTTGGAATGGGTGCATATAGTAACTTAGATTGCACAAAAAAAATCGAAACTACTTGTGATAGAATTAATATAGCCTGTAATTGTGGATCATTTTCAAATTCATATTCTAAAAGGCAAATGTTGGAAATTCTCAATGTAAAAGCATTCTACTTAGAGATCCTGAACTGTTTTGTGCATATTAGAAATACAATAATTTGAAATATTAGTATAAAGCCAGTTTCTTTAAGACAAACTACTTCCTCAAAGATAGTTCGCTATCCTGAGAAGCCATTCCTTCCATTTATTTTATTTTTTTCCTTTTGTACTTTCGTAAGCCAGTATAACACCCCAAGAACTAATTGGCTTGTTTCTAGAAGAACAAATGAAATCATACATTTTGCAACTCCACAATAAATATCAGGTTATGAAACAACCGCAAATAAGCACCATTTTCTAGATACTACTGTGCAACAGATAAGTAAAATAAAAAGTTATGAAACAAAATCTAGACAAGAATACTGGAAACAGTTACCATGGAGGTGGTCTTCTAATGATCCCAAGGGCATAAACTCATAGACGAGAAGTCTCTGATCCCCGTCAGCACAGTAACCCATCAAGTTCACTAAATTAGGATGGTGTAAGAGGCTAAGCATCAGAACCTCAACCAGGAACTCTCTATTACCCTGAAGCCCATTCCTATCCAACTGCTTAACAGCTACAGCCTGCAAAATCACATAAAAGAATATCTATAACAGCAGGCAGAAACGCTTACACCATCAGACCACACACACAAACAGAGTCAGAGAAATAGATAGGATGAGAAGTCATATATTACTGTTTAACATATTAGTGAAGGAAGAGGAGTTATATCATGGTGATCTGCATGTTTCCGAGATGAAAAAACCTCACAATGTCCCCATATTAATCATATGATGATTTTGAAATTTAAGATTACTTGTTCTCTTGCATAAGGAGCCAACAACACATCTTACCAACACATACACAAACCGGACAACTCAACATATGAACACCTACGCAAAAAGCTTTTTCCAATTCGCCAACAGCAAAAACATTGATGTTTATAGAAAATGTTGACAATAAGCTTTGAATTCTATTTGGTTTACATGGGAACGATATTTGACTGATTCAAGAATAAGGTTCATCCCACTGGATCCAAAGGAAAGAAAGAAAAAAAAAAAAAAAAAAAAAAAAAAAAACAGAAGCCTCCCTCTTGATCCAAAAATTCGTATTGCTTTTACCTGCCCACTAGGAAGCCTCCCTTTGTACACACGTCCAAAACCTCCCTCTCCTAAGAAACACTCAGGCCTGAAGTTATTAGTAGCGTTAGCAAGCTCACGAAAAGTAAATGTTTGTGCAGCAATCTGAGCATCGGGCAAGTCTTTGGACAGAGATGCTTCCTTATGTGGTCCCACGTTGCTCGTTTTTAACCTGTTTCCACCTGCAAACCACAATCACAACAAACATTGGTCAACAGAAATACTAAGAAAACTTAAAAGATCAAGAGTTGGAAATAAAGATACATGGCTAAACTAACAGTGTACATAAGTCACCTGCAAACCACAATCACAACAAACATTGATCAACCGAAATACTAAGAAAACTTAAAAGATCAAGAGCGGGAACCATAGATACATATACATAGCTAAATAAAAGTGTGTATAAGTCGATATTAATCCATTACAGTGCATCTCGTTATGAGCTAAATAACTCAACCTACTGATCAACAGACGAGTGATACAATTCAAATAGCAGAAAGGGGGTCTAATGAAATAATTGAAAAGACACAAAGATACGACTACTCCAACCAAAGAACAAACTGAATAGCAGAACAAATCAAGATAAATTTGATGGTAAGTATAAAATAAAACTCAGTGAAAAAAATCACATAGAATCAGAAGTGAACAGTTCATAAAAACAACGTACTTGGATCAGATCAGACCCCAAAAACAACATAGAAAACATTAAAACAGAAAAAACGAAAGATAGAAACATACAAGAATTTAACATGAAAAAAAAAAAGCACGCCAACCAGATGATAA